TGATGCATCCTAGTCCGACCGACGGTATATCAACAATAAACAAGACCACAATGCCGTTTCTAATGCTGATTATAAGAGACGCCAAGAAGCCATATCTACTCAATATGAGGTCTTGCTGTTTGGCTCCAACCAAGGTTCGAGGCGACGGATATGCATGTTCATACTAGCTACCCATGACAGCCACAAGCGTGATGTTGACGAAAAACAATATCGCTTGCTGCGATTAGACTTTTTTCTAACTCCTCCCTCTCAAAAACTTCAGTCTTACGGTATCACAAAACCAACCTCAAGCGCACCAATCAAGCGCTTGGTTCAAGTCAATCAATTCCTCCTGGTCTTCTCGCGATCCCGGCTTGAGGTACTATTTTCGCCGTCGTTGCGCACTTTTTGCTCTGCTAGGAGGCTGAGTGACCTGATGGATGACCGTCTTGGTCAGCCTGCAAACTCGTGAATCTTATATACTGCGCTTGAGAGACCAGGGCGATTGTGCGACAGAGGCTCGCCATTCATGAAATGCAAGTACTGCGGAGGAGGCCGGATCTCATGTTGCCGGACCTGGCTGGACATGTATCCACTTTGCCATCGTTACGGCCATTGAGATCTGACATGCTCTGGTCTCGCCTCGGAGAAGCAGCTTATTAGGACGAGAGCATTCAACGTCATCTATTCACAAAGACAATGCTGAGATATGTTTTTGTGTCGCAGGATACATTATCTGTTCATCAGCCTCATACCAACTATATGTGGACTTCAGGTGTCCAGTATCAATTTACATGGGCTTGTCGGAACTTACCTACCTGGAGGTAGTCAAGAGCAAAAACTTCATGATTTTGAATTTGAGGTCTAGGGTAAGTTTGACTCAGCCACCCATTCTTCTTCCATCCCCCTGAGTCAAGCTTACCCTGGACTCAAAATACAAACTCGCGTTACTTCACTTAACAATGGCTGCAAAGGGCAAGCGACATGATTCTGGTGCCATCAGCATACATAGATAGGGTACCTTTCTTACTTGAATGAACTCGCCGACAACTTCTCAGCACATACACACTGTTGTCACTTATGTAGGAACGGACTTACTCATTTTTTAGTTTCCGCGAGCAAATGTTGCACTGGCGCGAATCACTTGTAATCTTATAGATTGTCATCATTGCTGGAACAGAGGAAATTTCCCGAATTTTACATGCAAAGACAAGGAAGCCAGAGAGACACGGACGTCTTCCGATTTGCAACTTCTATTCATTAATCATCAGAATTCCGGCAACAACCGAGCAAGATTGACACCGTCCAGTATTGGTGTACTCCCGACACCCTAGGATTGTGTAAAAGTGATGGCGCGCCGTCTCCGGTTATATTGACGCACTGAAACGGGCTCCCTTGCCCAGGTCCGCGAAGCCATGGCAATAAAACGCGCCCGGATGTCTGCCCGTCGCGCCATCATTCTAGCGGCCCGTCTATCCAGCAACGTTGACCAAGTCGACCAGCTTTTCGCAATAGCGCATTGTCGCGGCGATCTGTTGTGAGCGAGGCACTCGAGGGCAAGCGGCCATCATTGGCGATAGTAGTGACAAGGGTCACTGGTGTGACGGAAGCCTAGTCGGACTCACTCGAAGTAGTCGTGGGGATTTCAGACCCTCGATGGGTCTGCGCTAAATAAGTTGTTGAACCGAAGCAATAGATGATGTGCTCCATGACATATCTGATGATCCGCTGCTCCAGGTTCCATGACTGCCCAGGTGGTCGTGGTTACTAACGGAGTCTGGGACCTGATGGTGGATACTGTCGTGTTAATCAAGCTGCCACTGGTGAACGCGCTTCTAATGGGCAGGGTGGTCATTGACTGAGACCCTGATAATTGCCTGGCTGTCTTCATCGTGGTGAATAACAGGACTCCCGAGGCGGGCGTCAACTGCTGAACAGCCCACAGGAGACAGACGTTGCCGAAGTGTTTGCATGGGAAAGGGGGTGCCCACAAAGAATGGTAGAAGAAATGGAATTAGACGACGCGAGTGACAGGGCCTTTTAAAATGCCACTGGTCAAAGAGTATTATCAAGTCTTACTGTCTTGCTGTTGAGACCTAAGTGTTCTGAAGGTGGGAAAGAAGACGAAGAAAATCTGTAATCAAATTCCATGTTGCGTCAAGGTAGATATAGAAAGCACTAGGCTGGAACACACAACACTGAGAGCATAGATCTACTTCTCACTTTTCCAGAATCTTGAAGGTTGCAGGAAGTGGGGCAGAGATGTTGCTGGACATTCATCAATACCATAACTTAACAAGTGAAAGGGCTGCAGCATTTACAAATAGTGTATCTAATGTAGAAGAGGCCCTCAAGTATTCTCTGATGTTTGTGCTGCCCCAGAGTGTTCAGCATTGTGAGTCTGAAAGCAGATGTCGTTGCAATTGTGCCTCTCATTGCTGCACCGTTTATTGATGACTAGGATCAATAAACACGATTTTCCTGCAGCAGTATATGTAGTTTTGATCTGCAGGTTGTGTTAACACCGTTCGGGCTGGACCCCCCAAAAATGCAGAGGCGGTTCATACATCTTTCCCTGCTAAGCTGGAAGCGGACAGAGTGTCGTTGAAACAAGGTTGGCAGGGGGAGTAAGACTAGGCCGTCATGGATTATTGCGCTGGGCATCACAACGTCATCTAGAGGAGAACACAAAACATCCTCTCCAAACAGCCATGGAGTCCGCCAACATCTCTGGATACTGATTTCAAACATGGTCATAAACAACATCGAGCAGCTTGTGTTATCCAGAGAGTGTGACATTCGATTGTGCATACGGTCACTCCTGTCCACGCGCACACTTTAACCACATTCGCGCCGATCCTGCTTCACCATGTGGTCCCAACTCGAGCCCACTGCGCCACATATTTCCTACCTTACGATATCCATCTTTCTGATTCTCTTCGCTCTCTTCTCCATTCTCATCCGTAATCGTCTCCACCTCTCCGAGCCCCCTCTCGCTGTGGTCTATGGCATCATCCTTGGCCCGGCTGTCCTGCATGTCCTCTCGCCACACCAGGACTGGGGCTTGACCGACATCTTTACCCAAGAGGGCACCCGCGTCATTCTCGCTTTGCAATGCTTCGCCGTGGGCATCGAGCTGCCAGCACACTGGTTTTCCGCTCGGCGACACTGGCTGTCCGTCGTCTACTTCCTCGGGCCGATCATGACCTTCTCGTGGGCCGTGACGAGCTTGTTTGCTTATTACATTTTCAAAGTCAATGCACCCACTGCCATGATCATTGGCGCATGCCTGAGTCCCACGGACCCCGTTCTTGCGGCGTCAGTCCTGGGCGAAAGCATGTTCTCTAAACGCGTGCCCACACGGTTGCGGAATCTGCTGTCTGCGGAATCCGCGTGCAACGACGGAGCTAGTTTTCCGTTCTTGTACATTGGGTTGTCCATTTTTGAGACGCGGACAGCAGGCGACGCAGTCAAAGAATGGTTCCTCATCACCATTCTCTACCAATGCCTGTTAGGACTGCTCATCGGCTACGGACTTGGCTGGGTCGCCAACAGATCGCTTCGATTTTCGGAAGATCGAGGGTATACGAGCAGACCGAGCTTGGTGGTATTCTATTTGCTGCTGGCGCTTCTGTGCGTTGGCGTGGGGAGCACGCTGGGAAGTGACGATTTCCTGCTAGCTTTTGGCGCAGGCATTGGCTTTGCGCATGATGGATGGTTCTCGCGCAAGGAGGAAGAAGCACAGGGGGAGGCGCCCTTCCGGAATATTGTCGATTTGGTGCTTGATTCGAGTATGTTCGTGTATTTCGGCTCGATGATCCCGTGGACGGAATTTGTCCCAAAGACCGACGGGGTGCTGCACGGGCACATTGGCGTGGGAAGTCTGTTTCTTTTCCTCGCACTGGTCCTTCTATTCAGACGATTACCCGCAGTCTTGGTCATGCATGTTGGAAAAGTCATCCCGGATGTGAAGACCTACAAAGAAGCGCTGTTCTGCGGTCATTTTGGTCCTATGGGTGTAGGAGCGCTATTCCTGGCGATCGAAGCAAGGGCGAATTTAGAGACAGGCACGTCGGCACCATTACCAAGGCCTAAGACGCCGGTCGGTCCGCCGTATAATGACCGTGAGGTGGCCATCTCACTCATCTGGCCGGTCGTCTGCTTCGTGGTTCTGGGCAGCACGATGGTGCATGGCTTGAGTGGTTTAGTGATCAGCCTCGGTGGCCACTTCAGCAGACGGACGAGCGAGCAAGCCCCGCTCCTTGGAGGAGAGCGCGATGGTCTCACAGGTATGGTGCATGATAGTGAAGATGACAGGGACGATTAGGCTGGCTAGCTTGGGTGAGATCACGGAAGTCATCTCACTTGAAGATGAAGTGCAAGGGAGGTGACCCCGGAACTCAAGGCTGCCGTGGCCAACAGACAAATCCGACCCCTTCATCTCGTCGGCGCAACCGGGACCAGCACGGTCTGCATTGCTCGTGGTGATAAGCACGGTACGACAACGCACAGGATCGTCCTTCAGCTCGTCGGCAAAGTTCAACGATGCAGGCTCGGTGGTCAACCTCACCACATCCTGTGTGGACTTAGCCGCGCCAATCTCGGCGCGCTGACTTTGCACGTTGACGTGGTCAACGCTTTTTATGGCGCTGAAACGCCGGAGCGCACTGGGTTTTGAGGTCCTGACTATCTCGAGGGGGCGTCGGTGACGCTACTGGGTTTGTTCGAGTTTTACCACGGTTTTTAGGCCGAGTCATCAGAGGCGCAACTGTCGACGGCGCTGAGCATGGTGGGGAAGAAATGGCTAGGCTGGGTAAGGTCAAGGACGAAGTCGCGGGCGACGCTCAGTAAGGCGAATGTAAATATCATTCTGTCTTCAACGTTAGCATCATGAACAAAGCGCACTACTCAGGTATACAAGAATCAAGGCTTGGAACTACAAGGCAGTTGAGAGCGTCTTGAAAACGCCAGCCAGATTTGGTCTGAGTACTTTAATTGAAGATTTTGTGTAAATTTTCATCGGCAACCTGGCCGAGCGGTTAAGGCGCTACGTTCAGGATCATCTTGAGTATCGTAGTCTCGAAAGGGGCGTGTGTTCGAATCACACGGTTGTCATTGCTTTTGTTCGATGTCACGGCTGTCCTTAAACCTTTTGCCGTTTTTGAAGAATCGAATTCGAGAATTAAAGGGTAGTGGACTTGGGTTCCTTGTTACTGGAAACTCGTTTTAAAAATTAGTCCTAGAGGCTAGTACCTATGACCCGGAAATAATAGTGTAGCCTACCTAGATTCAATTAACTTTACTTAATTTCAGTTGCTATTCTTACTTACCTCATGAAACAACAATAAACAGCATCTCTCTTTAGATCAGTGCCTTCTTGAAGCTGTTAACTTGCTTACGCTTGTGCTTGGGTCCATTTAGTCATAAGCAAGATTCTCTTTGGATCAAGATATTCGCCTTTTCTTGCCTAACGACCTGTTATGACTCGCACGTATTCGTAGGAGAGGGAGGCAAATTTAATGTTCAGATGTTCTAAGCTCAGCCCAATCATGATCAGATGATATACACAAGACTTCTCCTAGCGTCTTTATCATACAATTCGTCCGCAATCTTTTGACTATGCCGGGTCTCGGAAATGTGTTGCCATGCGACATGGTCGAATGAATTCGAAAGCTTTGTCCAGCCAATGCGCTTGAAAGTCGATCTCCTGCAGGCTTCTGGCCAAGCACTTATTTGATGGTCGTCGATAGGGGCTTGTTCCAAGAGGAGACAGATGAGATCGTTTGATCGCTGAGACGGCCCATATGCCATCGGAATGCAAAAGATGTGGTCTGACTCGGTAAGCCTGTGGTGCTGATCGTCGTCGGTTGGACAATCAAGGGACACATTAAAGTGTTTCTCGTCCTCAATCCTGCCCCTCAAGGACCAGTAGTAGAGAGAGCCTTCTTGTCGTAACTCCACAGGGTGCAGCCAGGCCCACAACCGGATGTGACCCCTTTCGACCAAACCAAACTTGTTGGTTGTCGCGAATTTCACGTACACGCTCTTTTCCCAGACGTTTTTTTCCGGTTCTAGCGTGTTGTCACCTTTGTCCTGTGGGACTTCGACAAGGACGCCGTCAGATTCAAGAACATGGCCGCAGGCAATACCATTGCCAAATTGCGCATCGACAGAAGCCCAAGAAAATGATGGCGCTCTGTATTCTTCCGGGCGTCTCGACAAGTACTCAATCGTGTCCGAGCTGGAGTCGGAGTCGCCACGATAAACTGGCTCAACACGCCAAAGCAATTGACTGACAAGATGCACATTCCATAGTCCGGCTATGTACCGGACCTGGTCGCCGTTTTTGCTTGAACCTGCGATGATGTTGGCCATACGGTGAGCTATACCCGAAAGCGCAATCAGTTTGTCCTTTTCTTTCGTCAGGTCAGTTTTGCAGTACATCTCAACAATCCGAGACCATAGCTCAAGTGAATTGACAATACTAGATTCTGGGCCATTCTTGCCCAAATCAGAGGTGTCTTCCAGTCCGCGGAGCCTGTTTTTCCTGAGCTTTCTGCCGTGCTCTTCTGGTGTTAGTCCCTTGATTGGGATGCTTTCATAGATCTCGTCTGCAATGAGCTGATAGTTGGGTATGCCTGGGACATGCCCCTCGATATCATCGAACTCTGCACACTCCCAAGCGAGTCGGCCACGGCAGAAGTGCAACACCCTAGGGGCCAGTAGTCGCTCCTGAACAACCCAGCCACGCTTGTTGACAGGGGCTTGGTTCACTAGTGTTTCCCAGCTTGACACGTCTACTAGTAGACAGCTTTGTACTTTGGCCAAGGGCGTAAACTGTGAATCCGGAACTGAAGCTGGAGTGGTAGGGATATCTGCGTCGCCGTTAAATTTGGGCCAGGTCCTGACGCGACTTTTCTGAAGTGTATCCTCTGCACCCTGATTGAGGCCGCCAACGTCCAAGCGGACAACCTCTTCCCACAAATGCTGTGGGTCGCGACGTGAGTAGAGGCCCTCCCCACTGTGTTCTGCAGCTGTGGCTGAGATATTCAGGAAGGAATTGCGATACACGTCCTGCATGCGGGCGGATTCTTTCAACCAGTCTTTCTCGTCTCCTTGGATAATGCACAGAGAGTCGATCCAGATGTAGTGGACCCTATCATCCACGCGAAGGGCGAAGTGGATGGCGTCTTGAAAAGTTCGAGGTAAATCCTCTAAGCGTACACCTTCTCGGTATGCTTTCTCCGTGCTTTTCGTCAATTTGGCTGGTTTGACCGGTCTATCCGCGCCACCCCACTTATGGCTGAGGGTCACGTATGCCTTGTCTTCCAGCTTGGACCATGCCAGACTTTTTGTGTCGACGAGGTTGACTGTGGTTTTTCCTAGCTCGTCCAGCCCTAAATCTTCGTGATATACCCACTTCTTCGCGTCGATTGTGCCTAGTTTCTTCAACCCGGCGAGGTTGATCAGGCGAGTCGGATATTCGTCGGTTTTCAACTTCCGCTCAGGAACGCATTTGCATGTACGAAGCCACGTTTTGGCGAGCCCCAAAACTTCGGCATGGTACATGTGGTCGGAAACGGGCGTTCTCAACAGCGATTCCACGTTCCCATCTGGTATGATCTAGTCAGCCAAGCTCGAGTTTTCTCATGCGTGTCCGTCAAATAACCTTCTAAGTCTATTGGTCTGAGCACAAATGTGTGACGAAACTTGATTCCAGCCCATTCCACCAGGAAGTCCAGGCGATAGATAGGGCCTTGGCTAATCGAGTCCCGAGGCACAGCAGATAGATGGGCCTGGCTGCGGAGATCGAGAAAAGCCAGATCATGAGCTGATGCCATCCGCTGGAGGGCTGGAAAAAAATTGACCCCGACTTCGTCTCCTAGGGGGCGACAGATCGAGCAGTCTTGAGCGACGGATGCCCAAAAAGACTCAGCGGAATCGTGGTGAACAAATTGAAGGCCCAGCGTGCCCCCAAAATTCTGCCCACGACGACCTCGCAACATCCATACACAGACTTCGCAAAGCATCTTGTGAATTGGAATGGGGGAGCAGAAGAATACCAGGCTTCGAGGCTGTCGCCAAAGGGTGCGAAACGTCTCAAAGTTTCGTAGGCCAGAACGCCCGAGGCAGACCTAAACGGACCCGGGCCACAGTGGAAACCTGAGCCTACTTGAATCCCTCGAAATACTCCACATGGGATCTTCTCTGCACACTCCTATCATGGCTTCCTCGTTGCCCTTGCATTGTGCCTGCTCTGTCCTTGAGTGGAAGGCGACATCCATCTTTTCTGCATACATGGGTCTGGCCGATGCATAATGGTGGGTAAGAACGTAAGCAAGCATGCAGGACTTTTGATTCCTATAGGATACGATCTACCACACGCGCAGGAGCTGACTGTCGCGCGGGCGTACTAGCGGGGAAAACCGACCGTTGTCACATTGCATATGTGCGTGAGAGATACGGAAGAGGCGCAGAAGGAGGGGCGAGCTCCTTAGCGGTTTCGAGCGATGAAGATGTGTTTGTACCTAGGTAGTCGATAAGTCTTGCCTTCTTAAAGGGTGGCTGTAAGACGCCGGGCACGGGCTGCTATCTGTGCGTGTTACTGACCAGTCATAACCCTTGTTGAAAAGTTGCAGGGGGTTTTTACACTGATCGAGCCACTCCACACCTTGCAGCTGCCTGCTTTTGTTAGCCAGTCAGTATAATAATAAGCGCATGTCAGCGCCTGTACGCCTTTGGTGAGGGGTTCTTGCATAGCATTATGCCTCCTTGCAACATTTCCTCGAGCTGACAACGAACGCTTCAAACTGAACGGAATCAAAGACTTAGACAAGGGGAAATTCTAAAACAATGTGCGAAATCATTGATCAGCCACCGCAGTTCATATGGAAAAAATATGATATGGACTTTGGCAACGCTAAAGTCGATCTCTGGTGCCCTCAGACCAGCGACTTCAGTGAACACGCAAAAGGAAGCTGGAAGCGCAAAGGCGGCATCGATAAAGATGAGATTGAGGACTTCAAGGCTTTCCAGGAGTGGAAAAAGACAATGCAAGCGAATCTTGCGCGGCAAGAGAGAGATGAGAGCCATCCCCACCACAGCCGTCCTTACTCTCTGAAAAGTATCCACATCCAGGCCATCACGAGATTTCCGCCCGGTAAGGTGGGCTTTGTCAAGATGGACGCTTGGATTCAAAGGCAGCCAACTGCGGAACAGAAAACGGAAAAACCAGATCCGGAAAAGCATCCGGTCGATTACAGAAACACTCTTTATGAGACCGTGTTCCTGCGCGGCGGAAGCGTGGCCGTGCTCATGATTCTGCGCCCTTCAGACAAGCGCGACGAACGCTGGGTCATTCTCACCGAGCAGGCCCGCACCCCAGCATGCTCGTTACGCTTCATCGAAATTCCGGCAGGGATGATGGACGCCAACAATAACTTCCAGGGCGTTGCTGCAAGAGAAATCGAAGAGGAAACAGGCCTAAAGATCCCAGAGTCAGAACTGATCAACATGACGGAGCTTGCGCTGAAGGACTCAGACGATGACCCCGAGACTCTGGTCAAGGCAATGTATCCTAGCCCTGGAGGATGCGACGAACATATCTCACTCTTCCTCTGGGAGAAAGAAATGGATCGAGTGCACATAGAGGCCCTGAAGGGCAAGATAACCGGGTTGAGAACTGCAGGCGAGACCATTACTCTTCGATTAGAGAAGTACACTGATCTGTGGAGAGTTGGAGCCCGAGATGCAAAGACACTGGGCGCTTGGGCCTTGTACGAAGGATTGAGTAGTTCGGGAACGTTGGATAAAGAAGACAAGCAGAGGCATGCCAAAAAACAGCGGACAGAAAAGCCTCTGAGTGCGTTTCTGACATCCCTCAAGAGAAGAGCTTCATAACAAGGAAAGCCGATTCGCGATTGTACCATAAGAATTGATTCCCATACGAGGTTCAATTCCACAAGGGGCTTGGAGGTGAGCAGTGTCAAGGTGATCGAAACCTTGCTTGGAGGCTACTATGCATGGAGGCTACTAATAAGGATTACGATTCCTGAGGCTGCTGATATGTCTCAACATTGCTTGAGATATGGAATATAAGTAGTTGGCTTGTGAAG